CTCCTCCTTTAGAGCATTTCAGGACAAGAGCACTACTAACTTTTCAAAATATCTTACCTCGAATCTACCTTGAAAGGGAGAGTTGAAAGAAGCAACCTAATTAAATGGGTCCAGTCTCAAACTGATCACTAGCTGAGATTCAAAGGCAGCACTGACATTGAACAGCGCAGAAGTTGTGTTGCATAGATGGTAGATACATGATTTTTGCTGTTATCTCATTTATCTGGATAGTCTGCAACTCTTGGGATGTAACTGGCAGGACGACCCCACTGCCCCAGGCCAAGATCTGACAAAATCTCTGAATGTGTTTGAACAGAAATCTTGATAAAGCTTGGCTTAATTTCATACAGATGACAACCTTACATTTAGAAGTTCTGCCCTTATTAAGCATGCAAAAGCCTACCAAGGGAAGTAGAAAGAAATCAGAATTCAGGGCCTATGTTTCAAATTTTAGTTGGGTAAATAAGAAAAAGTTGTAAAAGATTTTAGATTAAGAATTTCAATTGAATATCCATGTTTCTCTTTTCTCCATACTCAGATTCCATTAAAATACAATTTAAAAATTCAGAAAGGTATCTATTCACTAATACTACTAAGAAAGGGGTGACAAATTAGCAAGCTCATGATTTAAAGTATTTTTGTAATCCATGAAACACACAAAATTTTATTATTATTCTGAACAGTCAAGGGAGGTATTACTCCGAAAGCACATGGAATAATGCAATAAGAGATGATGATTTTTCTCTGACTGAGTTCTCAGCAACTCAATCTCAAGGTAGGCATTTATGGAAATGGAGGAATGTAGTGGAATGGATATCAAAATACTTAATTGAGGAGAGTTAACAGAAAAGTTGTACAATTTCAGCTGCTCATGCCCCACCTTCCTTTCTTGAACAGCAACAGAGGTTTCACCTAACACAGACACTTTATCTCTAAAGGAATGGTATCTAGTCCCCAGAAAAAACTCCCAGAACTCCCCAACCAGTGTGTGCCACAAATGGGTTATGGGTAGTGTGGCCATATAACTTATTGTTTAAATCTAAAGACTTTTGAGAGTGAAGGGGAGTGTTGTCAATAACTATTCTAGGACAACAGGTGTAAACAGACTGTCACAGGCAAATGTGCAGTATAGACTTGTTAGTTTTGTGTGTCCTGAGATACTGATCTTTCAGCTCTTGGGTAAGCTGGGGCAACCAGAGGTTCCAGGCCAGACTGAAAAACCTCAATCTATTACCACAATGTACCACCAAATATTTCCTCTGTGTTATGAGAGAGAGAGAGAGAGAGAGAGAGAGAGAGAGAGAAGAACAAAAGAAAAGAAAAGAAAAGAAAAGAAAAAAGAAAAGAAAAGATTGGGAGCACTATGTTGAAGAAGCCACATACCCATGGCCATTTTCATATATTCCATTTGGCTACTGACAGTTTTTAAAAGATGGGCTCAAAATTTAGCAATCAGAAGTTGCCTATAAAAATCTGCTTTTGCCATTCAATAGGTATATCCATCCATACTGTACCCACATTCTTTTCTTCAAACAATCCAGTGGGGACAGAGTAGAGGCAAAATTCTCCCACTGGGAAGCTTCACTTGTTTATCTAACCTGCTCGTCTCAAATAGCCCATGAAACTTATTTCCACTGTTAGTAGAGACTTCAGAGTAAATCCCCCCCATTTTGGCCTGGTGATTGGGAAGGTGCAGCTGACCCCTGCTTCAGAGCTACACACCCTAAAGTGAAGCTGTCTCACCTGCCCAGATCTGATCTTTTAAATGAGGAGGCATGAGAAGCCACCTTTAACAATCCACCTGGTCCTTTATTTAAAAATAAGATTAGCTACCCAAACACCACAAGATACTTAAGTGAAAAACAGAAGCAAGAAAGAGAAGAGCTAAATTTCCAAGATGAATCGGGCAATCACCTGCATTTCCCTTACCACTTTTTCACACCATTCCATATAGTACTCCATAACATTATCTTCATGAGGACCCTGGCTGCTCTGATATTACCCAGTTTATTTATTTGTTTATTGATTGCCTCCTGATTAGAGAGTTATCTCCACAAGAAGGGTGATTCTAACAGTTGTTTATTTGTATATCCCTTGCCCCTAAAATAGAGGCTAGTACAGAAGAAGCACTATAAATATGTTATTTAATGGTATGGAAAAATCACTAAATGAAATACCTGCAGAAATAAACATGCCTCCCTTAGGCAGAGCAAGACTAGAGGTGGGGATGAATTTTAAACGTTGTATACAACTATGATTTTTATTATTATATGCATACTTTTTTAAAAACATTTTTTTTTTTTTGAGATGGAGTCTCGCTCTGTTGCCAGGCTGGATTGCAGTGGCAGGATCTCGGCTCACTGCAACTTCCACCTTCCGGGTTCAAGCGATTCTCCTGCCTCAGCTTCCCGAATAGCTGGGACTACAGGTATTGGCCACCAAGCCTAATGAAGTTTTGTATTTTTAGTAGAGATGAGGTTTCACCATGTCGGCCAGGATGGTCTCGATCTCCTGAACACGTGATCCACTCACCTTGGCCTTCCAAAGTGCTAGGATTACAGGCGTGAGCCACTGCACCCGGCACACATACATTATTTTTATAACAATTCAAGAAACAAAGAATGAAAATAAACTATTCATCAAGTTAAAACAATCTTTGCTTCCTAAGCTTAGAATTCTTCTCTAACATAGTAACCATCTCTAAGGAACCCAAAAATTTAACTTAACAACCCATGTAATTAATTATTTCTTGATTTGCTTGTTTACAGAGTTGGTCTTGAACTTCTCAAGCACTTCTCAGTCTACTGGCTGAGAAGTAGATAAGTTGCAAGTATAGATTCTGGAGTCAAAGAGACTTGGATTCAAATCCTTGCTCTGTCATTTGTCACCTGTGTGTCTTCAGCTCTCTATGTATTAGTTAGTTCCCTAGTTCATAAAATGAGGTTATGGTGAAAATAAAGAATGTTAGCATGAAAAAGTAATTGACTATGCCTTGCACATTAAGTGCTCAGTAAATATCAGTTACTTTAATAATTATATTTTGTATGCTTCTATATATTTAAATAATTTAAATGTCTGAAATGGACAGTAGGTCATCATCTTTTCTAGGATCATTCATTACCCACCACCTACATCCCAGGAACTGTAATGAACCCTGGGGAGATAAATAAAAAAATAAAACAAGGAGATAAACTGTGGACATGAGATATTTAACTCTATGTTCTTCATTATCTCATAGGCCTCAGATTCCTAAAAGTGAAAATGACAGATAGAGAATAGCTAAAGCTACTTTGAGTACAGATTTGTGACTGCCACACAACTCTTTGATTTTCTTTATATGCTTCCTTCTCAATCTCTCCTTTAATTGGATACATGAGTATTAAGATTAGTCACTTGACAGTTTTGCATCAGCATGTAAGTATAAATTAATTTTATAATGTTAGTCTCATACTCCGCTTCTGTCAGATCTCAGGCAACCGAGCTAGGATAAGTTTAGAAAAAAAATCAAAGAATTGCTGGAAGGCATTGGAAGATGTGCTGCCCCAGGAAGAGCAATTAAAAAAACAAAAAAGTCAACCAAAAAAATTAGGAGCTTCCTATAAGCAAATGATTTCTTTGTGCTACACAAAAACAAAATAGTATATAGGTATTAGCTAATAAATGTTATTATTTTCAAAAACGCTAGCCTCATACTCAGTATATTTCTATTCCTCAATAATTTGATTATCTTCTATAAAATAAAAATAGGTGAGCTCTGATATGATGGACTTCCTGAAGCCACTATATCACACTCCAATTCTCTAAAAATTAAGTATATTTTTTATAAATTAAATTTATCAGTTGAAAAATTATAAGGGACAGTCAACAATAACCAAGGAGAAATCCTGTAAAGAGAGAAAGCAGAGGAATTCAATTCAAGTAGAAAACAAATGCGTAGTAGAAGCCCCCTGTAAAAAGCGTAAGCGGCTCTGAGCACACTCTGAGTGTGGAGAGTCAGATACTGGGCTCTGGCACCAGCAAGAAAGGGACTAACTAGTTGGATACTTCAGTGACAGCAGCAGGTAGATCGACTTTTCCACATCTCTGCCCCTTGCAACAAAAGCACCACGCATCAGCAACAGAGCCTCTGGTTGCCAGTTGGGAACACAGGTAGAAGAAGTATGTCAGGTTCCAGGTGACTGGGGACATTCAGAGGGAATGAGGAACCTATATGCCTCAAAGAATAATATAAATAACGAACAGAGTATCCCATTCAGGAACGCTTTCTTCCTGGCCCCATCCCATCCTCTCATTCTTGGCAGGAATATTTACTCTCCAATTTGCCATAGTGTCTACTACCCACTCTATTTGTTTATTTTAGCAGTCCAGTCCCATAGGTATTTGAGTTGTGCCCAGAAAACTACTGGCCATCCTTTGCATAGACTTGAAAGGAGTAGTGAATTAAAATAGGCTCTAACAAAAGCATCACATGTGTTTGTGTTGATCAAGTGACAGCCTGAACTGCAAAAAGCCCCAATTGATAAAATAACTGGCCTTAACTGTAGGGCTTTACTGAACCAATGATTTGATTTGCTGAGACCAAAAATAACTGTGTGAACCATCTAGTAAGAAAGAATTATGTAGGAGGATTTTCAGAGCCTCTGCAATGATGGGTTGATCTATCTCCTGAAGGAGCTTGTAAGAACGAATAGAATACGTTATTAAACTGAAAGGACTTTAAGTTGCAGCAAATAAGATCTGGGATGTTTTAAAGGCCTGTTGGCCGTGCACAGTGGCTTACACCTATAATCCCAGCACTTGGGAGGCCAAGCAGGCGGATCACCTGAGGTCAGGGGTTTGAGACCAGCCTGGCCAACATGGTGAAACCCCATTGCTACCAAAAATATAAAAATTAGCTAGGTGTGGTGGCATAGGTATAATCCCAGCTACTCAGGAGGCTGAGACTGGAGAATCACTTGAACCTGAGGAGCAGAGGTTGCAGTGAGCCAAGATCACTCCACTGTACTCCAGCCTGGGCAACAAGAGTGAAACTCTGTCTCAAAAAATTAAAATTAAAATTAAAAAGCCCTGTTAGCTAAACCCCCTTTCCCTCTTTGTGTCTGTGCTCAAATGGTTTCTGAGCAATTCCTTATCAACTGAAGTGCACTCTTTCAACAAATTACTATAAATGGTTATGTGTATAAGAGATAAAATCTTATTTCAAACTCAAATGGTAACGAAATATCAGAAAGCCCCTGCCATCTGGCTTTACAGAACCAGTGTTGAGAGTTCAAACCACAGTAGCCAAGTATCTTGTGATCTAGAGACTAATAACTAGACAGACTCAAAGTAAATCAAACAAATGAAATAATATTCTGAAATTATGCCCAAATTAGAACACCACACAGGCAATACACTAAATGTTTGATTTTTGAGTTATTACATACACTTAAAGAGTCTAAACCTTGCCAGGCACAGTGGCTCACATCTATAATCCCAGAACTTTTGGATGCCGAGGGAGGTGGATCATCTGAGGTCAGGAGTTTGAGACTAGCTTGACCAACAAGGTGAAACCCCATCTCTACTAAATATACAAAAATTAGCTAGACATAGTGGCAGGCATAGTGGCAGCCAGACGTAGTGGCAGGGAGACTTAGTCTCCCAAGTCCTAGCTACTTGGGAGACTGAGACAGAAGAACTGCTTGAACCCAGGAGGTGGAGGTTGCAGGGAGCTGAGATTGCACCACTGCACTCCAGCCTGGGCAAAGAGCGAGACTTTGTCTTAAAAAAAAAACAAAAAAACAGTGTAACCTAACATAAAGATCACAAAACTTAAAGAAGAGGGAATTCCTTCCTTAAAATTGTTTAATGGCTTTGTCCACAAAGGTGAATACTAATACAGTGCAAATAACCATGCAAATTCTTAACTAAGGGCAAAAAATTAAGTCACTGTTGATGTTGTACAAAATGAAAATTTCGTTTTACTTGAGGCCAATGTGGCTCTAGAATAAAGAATAACCTTTGCAATTTAGATTTTAGAAGTACCTAGAATACATTAACATCCCAATTATCTGAAGATTTTTTAATGCATATTTCTAAGAGCTTTGCTTATAAAAACTTCAACCGATGAAACTGCTTCTAAGTTAGTCAAGATTCAATGCTACATGTCTGAAGACCTAAAACTTAATTAAAATATTTTCAAAGATATAACTGTGTAGGTTGTATATATAATTGTTCTTTAGTATTCAAGGGGAATTGGTTCCTCCCTGTGGATTGGTCCTCCCTGTGGCTACCAAAATCCACAGATGCTCAAATGCTTGATTTAAAATGGTGTAGTTATATGTATATAACCTACATACATCCTCCATGTTCTGTAAACTATCTTTAGATAACTCATAATACCTAGTGCAATGTCAATGCCATAGACATAGTTGTGATACTGAATTATTTCAGGAATAATAAAAAACAGTCTGTACGTGTGTAGTACAGACACAATCATCCTTTTCCTCAAACATTTTCAATACACAGTTGGTTGAATCCGTGGATGCTGAACCCTTTGGATATGGAAAGCTGACTGTATACAAATATAAGTTTCCTTGAGGGAAAGGTCCCTTGACGAAGATTCCTTCAGAAAGGGATTAAAAAGGTAAAATTAAATGAACGTATTGCAATAGCTAGAAAATATTTATCATTTACTAGCAGCATTTCATATATAGACAATGTGACATAATCATAATGATACAAATAACCAAACTGGGGAAGTAAATGTCATAATTTTGTAGCTTGCTTCTGTCTTGCATTCCTGGGTAAATTGATTCAATTTCTTTAAGCTTTAGTTTTCTCACCTTTAAAATTGGGATGATAATGTCTGTTCTGAATCTCTTTCAAATTTTATAATAAATAACTGATAAAATACATGTAAAAGTATCTGGAAAATGCGAGTTGGATCACTCCCGTAATTTTGATAATACACACTCATCTTTCCAATCCATGCATTAATATCATTGGTCTCTCAAAACCTAATATACATTTTGATATTCTAGGGAAATTCAGAAGTCTTTATTCTTCTTCCCCAAACTTCCCCTCCTGCCTGAGAGTTAGAGCTGTCTCTGCCCATGATGCAATTTTATAATAGTCCATTTATTGAGAATCTAGAATGTGCCAGGATAAATGCATACTTACAAAGTTGGTTTCTTTTTTTTTTTTTTGAGATGGAGTTTTGTTCTTGTTGCCCAGGCTGGAGTGCAATGGCGCGATCTCAGCTCACTGCAACTTCTACCTCCAAGGTTCAAAGCCCTAAAGTGATTAAGATAAAATTTGTTAAAATTTCAAATTTTGCAAAGCAATACAATAATTCTCTATTAAGAAAATAGGACCACTGACATATACCTATGACAGTGTTATATTTTCTGACATGTTTACAGTTTTTACTCTAAATTCTCAATCTTTCTGTATTCTTCTCATTTTTTGATGTATGTGGAACTTAAGTGGATTTCGTTCACAGATTTCCTTGCCAGATCAATTTTGAATAAATCCTACATCTTTGCAAATTCGTTCTTAGGCAACTTGGCTTTCTAGTTTTTCCACTGCTAGGAAATAAGGCGACTACTAAAAAAAATGATGAGTTTAACTTTCCTAGCAGATTGGCTAAATATTAACTACTATTATGTGATATTGTGCTGTAGCTGGCCTAGAGTTAGAGCCTGAACAACATCATTTTATAAAAGACAAAGCTGTTTTTTAAAATAAGTTGTAACAGCTGCCGCATTCTCCTCACAATAACTGCTGGCCTTGGCTTTGGTAAATAAAACTGCTAGTTTGTTCTGCAAAATAACTACTATGTAAAGCTGCTTATACTTTGCTTATCAGTAACTGCTCTCTGTGGCCCTAATGTGACAGGCAAGGAGCCCTAACCCACGGCATCTTGGCTCCCATGACTTGTAATAAGTAACTAAGGTCTGTGATTTCCACCTTACCCAGATAATGTGTAAATAAATGTTTATTTTGACTTCTGTAAACCACTTAAGTAACAAACAGAATGACAAGAGTTCCCTGGCCCTTGGAATATCCGGCGCCCTCATCTCCACCCAGGAGGTGATTTACAGAATCCACTAGCCCTCCAAATGTCTGAGACCTTTTCATCCCCATCCCCACACCTCACCCCCACTCCCAAGGTGGTTTTTCAGGTATAAAAAGTCTTGGCACCTTCCTTTCGACACCACAGGTTGGACAGACATGAGTCCTCTGTGGTCATTGGCATAATAAAGACCCTGCAATTTGGCATACTTTTGTCTTGGTGTTAACTTTCTATGCTCGGTCCAGTATAACATTTGGAGGTTCCACCAGACAAAAGCCATCTCAGAGTCTCACCCGGGCAGCTGCTCCCACCTCGGGGGTCATGGGGGAGGCTCCCCCTGTTCTTTCCCAGGGCCCTGGAGTGCCACCTTGGAGGATAAGCGACCTCTCAGCTGACATTCACCGGAAATTCCTCAGGGTCCTGGAAACCCCCGGAGGTAAGTTTAGTCTGGAATCTGGGAACTAGTTCAAAGGAAGGGCCTGAGTCGGGGGACTGATGAGTCATTGCAACTCTGACCAGGCAGGCCTCACTGAGACGTCCCTCAAGGCTTCTGGTGGCTGGCATAGTGGGTGGCGCTTTCTGGTGGCTGTTGCAGTGGGTAGCAGCCTTCTGGTAGCTGGTATAGTGAGTATCAGCATTCGATTGTTTTCCGTAACCTCTGTGTGAGTGAGAAAGTGAGTGTGTATATATGTAGTCCCACGGCTGAAAGGCTACAGGGCTTGTGTGGGCCTTCACCTGCGGTTCCACTGGAGCGTCATAGAGCATAACGGTGATTCACCTCAGAGCTGTCCTACTTGGACTTCCATCCTGAGGTGACCAGGCCGGGGGATTATACGGGTACACCTTAGCCAAGACGCTTCTGAAAAATTCCTCTGGGAAAGTGGCTAGGCAGGCATCTGACTGGTCTCCCATCTGAGGGGCACCCACCCTTTGTCTGTCACTCTTGTATGTGGTCCTGTCTCGTTTGTAAATTTGTCAGTTTTATTAGACTCCTGCTAGCAGACATACACTGGTTCAGGCCATCTTCCCTTGAGGTAGGGGATATTTTATAGTGGTTGACGAACCACTGGATGCAGGGAAATTTTATTAATTACACCCCTGTAGAGATTACTGTCTTCTCCTTCTTTCTCATCTTCTTCTATCACTGAGGCCTCACTCTTTCTTCCTTTGCCATGTGGCAGATAATCTTAACTGTAGTTGTCTTTATTCTCTTCCTTGTTATGGCCTTCTTGTGGCCTGTAAATTCTCCCAGCCACCTCCACCAGGGAAAGAGTACTTTTGCCCGTGCTGGATCTGATTCCATGTCAGGAAGGCCATTGTGCCCTCGACACCTTGGAGGTAGTTTCTTTGGAACTGTGGGGAACAAAACCCTAGATCAGAGTTTATGGGTGCTCTTTTCCAGGCTGGGATGGAAAAAAGGTAACTGCTTATTCTGCCAAGAAAGCGTCCTATGTTGTTATGGGCAGTGCCCAATGGTGCATCACAGAGAGGCATATTGGCACCATCCTGGATGTTGGGAGGTAGGATGTCACTGCCCAATAGAAACTGGCAGCACTTCTGCATACTCTACTGGGTGTGGTGGGTCCAAAACACACATCCGGTAGACCTCTTAGTTCACCTGTTTTGTCACTTACCAACCTTTCTGAAGCAACTGGCCATTAAAATGTATAAGGGGGAGGATTATGCCCGGGCAGTGCTAAACCTCCATAGTGCTTATTCTTGCCAGTTGTGGTTTGCAGGGAAAAAGACCACCACCTTACCTTGGCCCCTACCCCTTGTTCCTCTGACTAGGATTAGGGATAGAACCTAAAATCCAGTTGTCTGGTCCTTGCAGGACCTGGCTGCAGAGGCCCTACTAAAACCTGCTTTAAAGAGGGCCAAACTTGAATTTGAGGCTTTCCAAAATTGGCTTTACCACAGAAAGAGAAAGTAGGGAAGGGAAAAGAGGAGAAAAGAGAAGAGAGTGGAGAAAGTAGGAGAAAGAAGAAGAGAAGGAAGGAAAGATAGAGAAAGTAGGGGAAAAAAGAAGGCAAAGAGAGGAAGTAGAGAAGCAAGGAGACAGAGACAGAGAGAGAGAAGAGAGAGAGGAGGCAGAGAAGAATTTGATGCCTTTCAGGATCCCTGTGTCAAGGGGACCAAAAGCCGCAGTGGCGGGGAACTCACAGCCAGCCCAGCAGCTGCGAGCTCAGTTTTAAACTGACACAAAAAGTGTTTTTTTCTTTCTCTGCCAGCCAGCAGCCCCACCCAGCTCTGAGGCAGGCCACACTGCATTTACATCCAGAATCTGGCTTAAAAAAAAAGCTTTCTAACCCTTTATAACACAAGTGACTTGTTAGCACAGTTGTTAAGGTGTGAGGCCTGCAACTACAAGGTTGTTGGTTCAAATCCTTAGTGAAGGCAGTCTTTTGGGGTAAATTCAAAAATTAAAGAAAAAAAAAACCAAACGGGGTAGTCTAGCTCCCAGCCTTGTACCTCCCTCCAATGCATGACGGCCAACTTCAAAGTTGGGTTCTCAGGCCAATATGGGGTGAAGTTAACCCCTGGAAAACTCCGCTCTTTGTGCGAGCCATCTTTTAAAATTAAGTAGCCAAATACTAAAATCTATGACCTCAAAAATTACCCACGCTGTATGGAAAATGGTTGCAGAAACTACTGGATACCCTGACCAGTTTCCATACATTGACCAATGGTTGGGTTTAGTCCAATGGCCTCCCCCATGGCTAAAGCACTGCATAAAACAGGCTAGTCTTCAGGTCACATTAGCTAGCCCAAAGAAAGTCCCTTCTGGGCCAGCCATTCTCCCCACCCCAGTGGAGGATCAGGAATTACTACCACCCTATTCAAGGCCCTCTAAACCAGTGCCTCAGCAACCCCCTCGACAGTACTATTAACTAAACCTTGTCCCCTGCTGCACACCCGCAGCAGAGCCCAACACCCATCAGCGGTCCATCCTCTCCAAGAGGCACCCCCAAAAGAAGACAATCGGGGTTGCCCATTCTTTGTTCACATCCCCTTCTTGTCAAATTACTTATATAACTGAAAGGTGATAGAGATCAAAGAGAGGGCCAAAACACCAAGTGCTGGCACGAGCTTTATCAAGAGCAAGGGAAAAGCTGCTGGGCTGCACCCAAAATTGGCAGCATGGCAAAGGAGATTTCTATGGCCTGCAAGCCAGCAGATGCATCCAGTGTGAGGGGCTGTGCAGGAGGGAAGGGACTGGGGAACTGCTAAGATGGTGAGGGGGGAGGGTTAGGAACCTGCTGAGATGGAAAGTGCCCTGGGAGGGGGTTGTGCTGGGAGGATGGGGAACTTAAGGTGGTGGTGATGCCGGGGTTTTACAATGAAACTCAACATCCCCCCGCACTCTGAGAAGCCCCAGGCTTTGACAGGACTCTTAAAATCTGTACTCCAGATGCATTGCCCCACTTGGGACGACTGCCAACAATTATTGCTGATTCTGTTCACCACAGAGGAAAAAGGCAAAATTAGACAGGAAGCCCTGAAAGCCATCATAGGTCCAGGGCAAGGAAAAAAGGGGCCTGACCCCAATGGGGCCCCAACACCTTGGGGGGGTCACCGGGCTCTGAACACTTTTCACCAGTATCTTTTAGAAGGGGTTAGGGGAGTGGCCCACAAGCCCACTAACCACTCTGAAGTAGGGACTGTAACTCAGGGTCCACAGGAGTTGCTGACTGCTTTCCTTGAGCGCCTACAGGACGCCTACCGCACCTACACACCTATGGACCCTAAGGCCCCGGAGAATCAGCAGGCCATTAATCTGGCTTTCATTTCTCAGTCTGCCCCAGACATCAAAAGAAAATTGCAAAAATTAGAGGGGTTCCAGGGAATGAATTTAACTCAGTTGTTGGAGATTGCCCAAAAAGTCTTTAACAATAGAGACACCTTAGAGGCGAAGCAAGATAATAGAGTTACTAAGGCAGTGATAGCAGCACTGCAGGAAACCCAAGTTATCTCACGGGGACCAGGAATCCAGCAGAGAGGAAAAGACTTCATCTTGTAGCTTCCGGATGGACAGCTTGTCTAAGAGCAGTGGCGGCCACAGCTCTATTAGCCAAAGAGGCAGATAAGCTAACTTTGGGGCAGGAGTTAAACTTAGTGGCACCCCATGCGGTGGAGTCACTACCCTGTGGAGCTCTGGGAAAATGGATGTCTAATGCCTGCATAGTCCAATACCAGGCCTTACTTTTGGACCACCCCCGCATAAAGTTTTCAAAAACCACAGTTTTAAACCCCGCCACATTGCTACCTGACAGCGAGCCAGAGGAGCCCATACATAACTGCCAACAGACAATAGATGTCCTCCATGCTGAGTGACTGGACCTCACCGACATCCCCCTGCGGAACCCAGAGGAGGTACTGTATACAGATGGGAGCAGTTTCATGGTCGACGGAGTCAGGTATGCCGGGGCAGCTGTAGTCACTCTAGAGCGGGTTATTTGGGCCCAGGTTCTTCCACATGGAACCTCAGACCAAAAAGCAGAACTCATAGCTCTGATAAAGGCCTTGAACTGGGCAGAGGGAAAAACTGTCAACATCTATACAGATAGCCGATATGCCTTTGCTACGGCCCATGTACATGGAGCCATTTATAAAGAAAGAGGGTTGCTTACCTCAGAAGGAAAAAATCATCAAAAACAAAGAGGAAATCCTCACTCTACTAGAAGCTATATGGAAGCCCAAAGCAGTGGCATTAATACACTGCACAGGACACCAGAAGGGAGATTCACCAGAGGCAAGGGGATATAGGGTGGCTGACCTACAGGCCAGACCAGCAGCCTTGGGGCCAGTAAAACCTCTGACTCTTCTTATGACTCTGCTGGCCCCAACCCTGCCTCCTACCCCTACATACTCACTTGATGAAGAAAACTTTGCTAAAGAACAGGGGGGATGGCAAGATTCCACAGGATGGTGGACTCTACTGGACACAAGGATTGTGCTCCCCAAGGCTCTAGGACGGGCTCTAGTTAAGGACACACATCAGGCCACTCACTTAGGGCAAACAAAACTAACTGAGCTACTGAGGGCTAGATACTACATCCCACATTTACATGAGATTTTTAGGGAAACTACTACTCGTTGTGATGTACGTGCCACGGTAAACTCAGGAGGCAGTAGGTCTACTCAGGCAGGGATAAGACTTAGGGGAACTAGCCCAGGGGAACACTGGGAGGTAGACTTTACTGAAATAAAGCCCCCAGCATGCGGCTGTAAGTACCTCCTTGGTGCATAGACACTTTCTCTGGATGGGTCGAGGCTTTCCCTTCTAGGTCAGAAACCGCACTGGTAGTAACAAAAAGATTGTTACAGGACCTGGTTCCTTGGTTTGGCTTGCCCTGACACTGGGGTCAGATAATGGCCCTGCATTTACAGCACAGGTTTCACAGGGCCTGGCCAAGGCCCTGGGCATATCCTGGAAACCCCACTGTGCCTATTGCCCCCAGAGTTCAGGGCAGGTTGAAAGGATGAACCAGACCATAAAGGAGACGTTAACAAAATTCAATCTAGAGACTGGTGAAAAGTGGGTCAGCCTGTTTCCTTTTGTTCTCCTCCGTGCCCGATGTACTCCCTATAAAAAACCTTCACTCCTTTTGAAATCATGTTTGGAAGGCCCCCTCCCTTGCTCTGCAAACTTGTAGACACCATACACGCTGAAGTCCATAACCATACACTCCTTAAGTCCTTACAGGTACTCCAGTCTGTTCAGTCCCAGGTGCACCTGCTCATCAGGGAAACTCTACCCACCCTAATGGACCTTGCTGATCAGCCGGTACACCCCTTTCAGCCCGGGAACAAAGTCCTGGTAAAGAGATTCACTGCCTCCAGCCTAACTCCTCGCTGGAAGGAACCCTACACCGTGGTCCTGGTCACCCACGGCAGTCAAGGTGGATGGACCAACTGCCTGGATTCACCATTCACACGTCAAGACTGCCACCCCGGATGCACGATGGGAAGTGGTTCCATCCTCAACGACCCCCTAAAGCTAAGACTTTCACGCTGTTCATGATCATCATCCTAACCTCCCTGATTCCTGCGGCCACCCCCCAAAAGGGACCCTCCTTGGCACCCACCTACTACCAATGGGTCATCACTGGGGGCTCCACTGGAGAATATGTTAGTTCCTTAACCAGAAAGGGATCCACCCTAGTCAACCTAACCCCAGAATACACTCCGAAGACCCCCATTACCTCTTCCTTAGACCTCTGTGCCCTCCTGGGCCCGTTCCTGACCCCAAACGTAAATCCTAGGACAAAAGATATTATAGCTGGGTGTGGCAGTGCAAGGGCAGAGCAGCAACTTCAAACTTATGGATTATATCTGTGCCCAGGATCCGCCCCTCAAAAAAAGATGGAACTGTGGAGACTTAAATGAATTATTTTGTCCCCATTGGGGTTGTGAAACTATCTCCACTATATCAGGGTATACCAAGGACATAGACTCCTTCATTTCTTTTAACCAAGACTCTCCCCCATCCCCATGCTACACCGGGTCTTGTAACCCACTCAAAATAACTGTAACTACCTCAGATGGTAGATGGACAATGGGGTGAACCTGGGGCCTCAGAGTATATATGAGTGGGTGGGACATGGGAAACATCTTTACCATCCAGTGTATACTGTTGCCCAGACCTGACCGCCCAGTGGGACCCATAACCGAGGTCTTAAAACCCCCAAAAACCTTCCCCAAGGTCCTAATAGCTCCACTCCTAGCTCGACTACCCCTACTCCCAGCCTACCCTCCACTCCTAGCTCTGCTACCTCCATTCTTAACCTGTTCACAGAAGCCCCCCCAGACACAGAAGGCCTGAACCTTCTAAACATGTTGTCCTCCACACACCACCTGCTCAACCAGACAAACCCAGACCTAGGCAAACACTGCTGGCTATGCCTAAATCCACAGCCACCATTTTACATAGGCCTAGCAGCACAACTCGTTATAGCCCCCCCAAGTACCTTATGTACTGAGAGACAGTGCCACATAACCCTAGGGGATTTAGAGGGAGAAGGCAGATGTTACCATTCCCCTAACTATAATCTCGCCAGCTCCCCATACCGACATTTTTGCAAAAACACCCTCATTTTAAGTTATAGCCAGATGAGTTTTTACTACACTACGCCAGACTCTGTTTGGTTTGCCTGTACTTTTGGCCTCACTAGGTGTATTTCCACCTACCAGTTCAGCAACTCCTCAAAACCCATTCTTTGTACCCCCGTATATATACTGCCCCGGGTAAATGTTTATAGTGGACCCCAAGGTGAAATTCTCATAGCACCCGATACAGACAGACATTGGAAATGGGTCCCCATAACTATACCCCTATTAGTGGGGCTTGGAATAGCAGGGTCCACCGCTATAGGAATATCTGCCTTAGTCACTGGGGACCA